GAAATTATTTTCGTATTATTCCCATACGACCAACATCTTTTAGAAATCACTTGATAATTCAACATCAAATGTTACTGAACAGAAAACTGTTCAATATCTTCGTCCAACATCATTTAAACAACAACAAAAAGAAATGCAACAATTGAATAAAAATAAAATGGAAATTATTCCGTATGCTACATTTCATGAAAAGTGAATCTTTTGTTTTTTTTATTGATAATAATTATAAATTGAATTTGGCTTTTTTTTTTCTTTTAAGAAAACAATTGTTACTAATTGATCAAAAAGCTTATACTCGAGATTTTCAACAAAGATATGATAATGAATTCTTACAAGTAAAATAAATTAATTTTTAAAGTTTTACTAGAAGACTTTGGGTATCGGAATCTTCCTTTCAGAGTTAGAATTATTTTTATTGAAATTGTCTATAAATAGTTCTTAGAATATCTTTGAAACCATGCTGAGGATCTTCGCTTATGTTTCTGATTCATGCTGAAAATGTGAAGATCTGCAAGAATGGAAGAGTCGTTTTGTGACAGAGAAACACCTCGATATATGCTTCTAATGATTAGAGAAATCGAAAGAAGAAGATGTACGATAGAGAAATCACATATTTATATTGTCAAATACCTCACTGATAAAAAATAATGGTATGGATTCAGTCTAAAGCCCTGTGAAACAAACTATTTTATGTCCCGAAATCTTTTTGAGTTGTTCCTTAAACTCTGTTGACCGAGAAGAGTATAAAAATACTGCTTTGTCAGCACAATACTTGTGGAAGAACATGTCTGAATACTGATGAGATTAATAATTTTCTATTAATCAGATGAAATATTGAAATGTTAATGGAAATTTACTTCCTTGTAGTGTACGCCTAAAGAAGGAAATTTATTTGATGTATAGCTACAGTTTAAGTACATTCGTCCTCACACACTCATATTAATTCATACGCAGAATACATTAACTATGACAATATGTTTTAGCTAAATTATAGTAGAAGTGAAACAACTAATGCATAGTTTTGAAGGCACCTGGAAATATTTTTTCTGATATATCATTTATTTAAGTGTAAAAATATTTATTAGAAACTAGAAATTTCAATTTGCAATGCGTTATAATAAGTGCATTTAGAAAAGTTAGGACATTAGTTTTTTTTCTGAATAGTTTCGAATGTTCAGAATTTCTTTCTAAAATAAATTTATAATTGTAGCGTTGGAATAAAGGTGTAATTAGTGATATTGATTGATGGTGAAACAACAATAAGTAGTTCAACAAAGTCAACAATTTGGTAGCACAACTGTTAGTTCATCGATGAATAATCGTTTATCTCAATTAAGTCTTGATCGCAATGGTGATCGTGAACATTTATCTGATATTGAAAGTCAAACAGATCCCGATGGTGGTCAAAGTGAAGCTGATAAAGAAGTAATTCGTCAAATATTTGATATATCTCATGCATTAGAAACATTTGATGATTATAAAGAAATAAAAGAATGGATTAATCAAGATACAACATTATTTGTTTATTCACAAAAAGATAAAATATTATCAATAATTGAAACAAATTCTATAACAATTATTCAAGGAAATATTGGATCAAGAAAATCTACACAAATTCCACAATATATATATTAGATGATTAAGTAAAACAATCCAAACCAGTTAATATTGTTGTAACACAACCATGACGTATTGCTGCTCGTTCACTTTGTGAACATATATCAATATCACGTAATTGGCCTGTTGGACAAACAGTTGGTTATCAAACAAGTTTAAATAAACAACGTTGTGAATTAACAAGAATTTTATATTGTACAACTGATGTTCTTTTACAAAGATTAATTTTAACAAAAACTTTTCAAGATTTTACACATATTATTCTTGATGAAGTTAGTTTTAAATAATAAAAAGAAAAATAAAGTTTTTTTTTTTTTTTCGTAGGTTCATGAACGTGATCAATGAATGGATTTTCTATTAATATTAATTCGTACATTATGGTTACAAAATTCTCATAATGTTAAAATAATATTAACATCAGCAACAATTGATGTTGAAAAATTAGCTCATTTTTTTCGTCAAGTTATTAATGGACAAATTCTTTTAGTTTATCAATTTAATGTTGGTGATCGACTTTTTGATGTTCAAGAAATGTATTTAGAACACATTCAAAATTATGGTCTTATAAGTTTAAAAGAAATTTTATTAATATAAAATAATAGAAAATTATTTTTTTTTAATTATCAGACTTAAAATTAACTAAAGCACGTTTATCTCGTGAAGCAATTAATCTTGCTGTTAACTTAATGAAAAGTTTTGATAATGAAGATAGTATGGCCGGTTGGGATCACACGAAAAATTTACCTATTAAATGTGCTACTGTACTTGTTTTTCTTCTTGGTTTACTTGAAATTCAAACTGTTTATGAAACTTTACGTTTTCCACGTGGAAAACCAGATTCAATGTAATTTAATCCAGATGATTATGATGAATGTATTATATTTAATTATGATATTATTCCATTACATTCAAAATTATCAATGGATGATCAAATGAATATTTTTACACCAGATAAAAATACTTATCGAAAAGTATAATTATATTTTTAAAATTGGAGAAGAATCTTTTTTTAGAGAGAGTTAAGTTTAATGATGATGTTTTAGTATGACCGAATGGAAGAAATCGGATCGGAGAGAGGATAAATATCTACTTCGCTTCTGATCTAATTACACATCAGAAGTATCCATCGCAGTAGTGACGCTGCTGCTGTCATAGTGCGACAGCAACAGATTGTTAGTTGCTACAGACATCTTTCTAGTACGGTATTGAAGAATCTTCCATCTTTTGCACTGATCCATTAGAGAATATTTGAGGAGGTGCTCATGCGTCAACCAGATGTATATCAATTGTTTAGAGCTTGATGACACTTTAGGAAATTTTCTCCTCATAAGTTGTTCTTCCCGAGTTAAGACTATTAGATTGAATTCTAACCAAAAAGTTTGCTTTCCTTTGTATTGTCTTGCTTGGTTCATTTCTTTTTGTCGTTCTCCATATTTACATGTAAATACTGACAATAATATGGAGAACGACGAAAAGAATCGGAGAGAGAGAGAGAGAAAGAGGCGTGACAAACGAAAATGAAATTGTAAACATCATTTTATTTTATAGTCATTTAACATGTCAACAACAGACGAATTTCTTGGAGATATCGATAATAAAACAGATGACGTACGTTGAAAATTTTTTTTTATCGACGTTCCTAATTTTTCTAAAATTTAGGTCGAAAAAAAACGTACGATTGAAGATGATCAAGAACAAGAATATGTATTGGCACTTCTTGCTGTTGATAATGCGAAACAAAATAATGCATCAAAAGAAACAATTGAAGCATTAGAAAAAGAAAAAGATAATAAAAAATTAAGGTTCTATCGAAGTGGAATCGATGTTGATGTAGTTGATGCAAGACGAGCAAAAAGAGAACTCAGCAAAAAAGATAAATCTGCATTTAAAACATTTTCACAAATCATTGCTGAAGGTCTTGGTTTAGATGATGAACCTGATTATGTTAATGTTAAAGCAATGAGTACATTAATTAAAAAAGATACAGTTGCTTATATGGTAAGTAAAAAAAAGGAAAAAAAAGCAAATAGAGAGAATTTTTATTTTTATTTACAGCTGTGTCTTGATGTAACATGTAGAGAAACAGTTGTAGATGAAAATAATGGAACATACAGGTGTAAAAGATGTAACAAAACATATAATAATTTAGAATGGTCTTATATGGTTTCGGTATGTAACAAATGTCTTTTTGCAAGATTTTATGACAAGATGCGAGTGAGAAATTGAAAGGTAGCGAAATGGGTTAGTTTGTTACCCATGCCATCCAAACCATTCGACAATCCTTAGCTGTTTTCTGTTTTTGTGATCTTTTATTGAGGCACCGAGGGTTATTGTGAGTAATCGGTTGGTTACTTGTCCAGCTAACTAACGGTTTGAAGACAGTTTCGAAAGCACGATACTTTTCCTATATTTACCGGTAATTGTAGTTGTGTATAAAAGACCGGTCTAACTCAAAGTGGTTCTGCTCAATCCTTTTCACTTCCCACACATATTGACTAGTTACGATGACGGGGGTATGTCATAACGTGATCAATATGCTGTATTACTGATAATCCGAGACAAACATTTGCTGGTGACATATTCACGGTCACGAAGAAATCGACGTTTAGAATCATTCAAAAAATTATTTTTAAGATAAACAAGTTTGAAAACATTCACTTTCATAATCAAGCAACAAAAATTATTTTTTAATCGTGAAATTATCAACTGTTTCATTACTTATCTGATTAGATTACGATGCACGCAATAAAAATCCAATTTCTAGTTATCAATCCAATTGAAAGGCGTAATGGACTAATTCCAACTAGAAAACTCGAGAAGTAGCAGCAGGAATGCGATGTCCAGATGCGTTGACTGATTTTTCAGTCCGCTGAGAGAAGTGATCAGAATCGAGCATAGTCGACCGCCAGATGCCAACATTTTCTATTGAAAAGCCACGGAAAAGCAGAGATGAGCACAAAACGGCTTTTTGCTGTACTCGTCATGAGCATCTTCGAATTCCATCTTTTTTAAAGATGCACTTTGTTCTGACTTTGTCCTTTTTTAGGCTGAAATCTCTGATGCAACCGGTGCACAATGGATCACTGTATTTGGTAATGAAGCTGAAACATTACTTGGTATGACTGCTAATGACTTTGGTAATCATATACTTAATGTAAGTAATCTCTCTTACGAAAATATAATTAATGATACATTATTTTATTATTCTAGCAAAATGAAAGTATTATTGAAGATATCATTCGAAAAGCAATGAATCATGAACGAATTTTTAAACTTCGTGCTAAAGCTGAACAACATAATGTAAATCAATTTTCTTAATATCTTTCAAAAAAAAGAATCTAAAATATTTTTTTTATTCAATTAGAATGAACGAAAGATTCGATTTACTTGTGTAGGTGTTAGTGATGTTGATTGGCCATCACATGGACGACGATTAATTGAAGAAATCAATCGAATGGAACCTGTGCAATATTAGTCAGATATTATTATTATTATTATTTTTTTTTCTTTTTTCGATATATTTTCATTGATTGTACAGATAGAAACATGTTTGTTAATCTTGGCAGATATTTTTTTTTCTACATATGTATATGACACAAAAATAAAACATTATGATAATAAGGAAATGAAATAATATATTCAATTTCTCTTTTTTTTTTCTCTTATCAAAATACTCTATTGACGTCAAAGAGATTTTTGAACTCAACCTTTAATATAATGATTATCAACATCAAAGGTGTGAATAAATCACTTTAATGATTTGACTTATATTTATATTAAAATCATGTTCTATTTCATGTCATTCTAAAGGGAAATTAATTATTTACCATTTTCGTATGCTAAAAGTACATTGGAATGATCAAACGCTTTTTTTTATCATATTACTCTTTTTTTTCATATAAAAAAAGGAGAGGTATCAACTAATAATATACAGAGAGAAAAAATAGAAAAATCTGCTTTTTATCATGTTAGTGTACGTTAATATAAAGTATGAACTGCGTTACGTATGTTATCATTCAATGTAACTTTAATGGATATTGTTATTATTATTATTTATAAGTGGTAAATAAAAGTAGATTCCGTGCGTTTTTTTCTTATCAAATTTCATTTCCTCAACGTTATGTTGGATTAACATACAAATCAGATTTTAATATGTGTAGTGGAGATGTGCGTGATTTAGAATTAATCAAAAGACGAACAATGTTACCTATTTCTGTCATAGACACTCGAGTTTCTATCTCATAAAGAACAGCTGTCTCATGAAAGATTGATAAAAAAAGAACGTACGTGTTCATACATCGTTCATTATTATAAAGAATTTCTTTTAAACTATGTACGTTTTTTTTTCAGATATAAATATTTTCATGGCTCAGTGGTTTTATTTCTATTTGATTTTCTTGTTGTCTTTTTAATAATATAAAGATGGTGATATTACCAGATGAAGATACTTTATTAAGACGACATATTGGTGCAGCATGTGAAAACCGTTATCGAGCACAACAACGAACAGCAAATCAAGAATCATATCTATCACCAGAATTGTTACGTGGTCGTTGGATTGAATTGTTTAATGAACAGAATAGAGATAATCAAACATAAATTTTTAAAAATTAAAATTTTATCTTTAACTTAACTTTTAATCAATGTCATTTATCTTTTAAAACAAAATAAAAAAAAAGCACGAAAGGAAAATCAATTTAAAAAACTTCATTTTTTATTATTTTTTCAATCCAATTGTAGTTGATTTTTGTATTGAGAATTTATTTATATAATTTTGTCCAAGTTGAGATACTTTACTAGCAAATGATTTCCAAATATTGACAAGCTTTTATTAGAAGATAAAGAAAAAATTAGTTTAAAAATTCTTCTTTTTTTTGATGAACTTACATCCGATGATCCTTGGCATTGAGTATTACCAAGATTATTTAAGATGCAAACAAAGGCTTCTAAATTTGCATAAACTACTTGTGTTTCAATTTGTACAAATTTAAGACCATGTCTATTACGTTTTTCAATCGTTTCAAGATTATTATCATTCTATAAAGAAAGATAGATTAACATATAAAGGGCAGAGTTAGGACAAATACTTGACGTTGTGTATAGTTTTTGAACATACTTCAAATGAACGATCCAATATAAACATTTCTATCAAATTTTTTTAACTATGTATGTGAATCCTGTTAATAAGAGTATCTTTCAATGCTACTCTTTTGCCATTCAGTAGAATAAGCAAAATCATCTGATATTATGCAGTTCAATGAGTTTTGAAGTGAATTATTCGATGGCAGTATTTCTCGCTTATGAAAAGTAGGAGAGTTGTTTTGACATCATTGTAATGTTATTTAAATCAAAGATCATTGCTCCGCTTCATACCACCTCATTAAAAGTTCATATTGAGAAACAACTTTTTTTGGCAAATTTTTCAAGCACTCATTTGAAACAAGCTCGGTTTAAATACTTGATATTTCTTCATGTATGGTTCTGTTGCGTCATATATGATCACGAAGATATACTATGATTGTACGCAGTCATATGAACCATCATAATACGAACATATGAGGGAAGAAGTGAACATATGTCACGATAATTATTTTATCTTTATGACGTCAAATAAAGGAAATAAAATATATATAGACTGTGTCACACTAAAAAACTGATAACGTTTACTCTTTGATATATATATATACGTGTATTTAGCTGTGTTCATAAAAGAAAGAATACCATGCTTGGAAGGGAAAAAATCGCTTCAGAATAGTGCGAGGGTGGTGATCTTTGATTTAAATAACAGGGTGAGAGTGCATTATCTTGATGAAATAATCAACCTCATACCAACAGTCATGTTACGATCATCAGATACTATGATAAATCAGTCTGAAACGTCCTTTAGACAGCACTAACATATAGGAATGAATCTTCGGCTACATTGTACATAAGAATCCATTTCAAAACTCATGAAAATGTGCAGCTTCAGATGATTTTGCTTATTCTATTGAGTGACACAAAGTACTATTGAAAGATACTCTTATTAAAAAATGTAGTCAAATAAGTTCGACAAAAATGTTTAGGTTGGAACATTCGTTTGCAGTATTTTAGAAAATAAAGAATATTCTAAGAATGAGGGTCATGTTTTGAATGTTCCACACTTAGCTAATGTGTCGTTACTTTTGGTGTTGTATCAGTTGTTGTTGATGAACGTCTTTGTTGATTATTTGCTTTTTGAATAGCTTTTTGTTCATTATGTAATGCTTCTTCAAATCGTCTACATAAATCCTAAAATGAAATCATTTGATTTTATGATGTATCAAAATCTTTTATCTCACTTTATATCCTTGAAGTAAATCGATTAATAAATGAAAATGATCATTAATAACTTCATCATCACGTTTATATCTTTCATTTATTCGTTCTGAAATAGCATTCATTTCACTTGGTAAATCAGTAAGACCAATTTGAATTGTTGCCCAATAATCATTAGGACCTGTAGCCCATCGATCGATAGTTGTTGAATCTGATCCAAGGATTCTAAACAAAACAATTAATCAACTCTATTATCAATATAAATATTGATCTATATATATCTATATATATATATATATACTGTAATGTTTTTTCAATATTTGCAAAATCATGAGCATTTTTAAAATTTTTTTCATTGATACTTTTTAAATATACACGAATTCCATTTAATTGTTGATGAAGATATGCTATATATGTTTGACTTATGCGAAACATCTGTATACCATCAGAATCATCTGCAGGTTTCTAAAAAAATAAAAAATTAATAAAAATTCAAATATATATTTTTTATTACTCCAATATTCTCTGTAGAATATAAAGATGATCGTGGTTCAGAACTGAATTCATCGAGAATATCTTTATACGTTGCTTTCATATTTTCACCGCATTACTATTCAGTAAAATAAAGAGCTAATTAGAAATTATTTTTTTTCATAAAAGATACAACTTGTTCCTTGAAAAGTTAGAAAAAATTTGATAATTTCTGTATCACAGATTGCTGGATTACGACATAAAATTTGAAGATATCGTTTCAATGATCGACGACATTCTTCGATAAATTCTTTATCAATTAAAAATATGAATAAGAAATTCAACGATTTGATACATTTAGTCATTAAAAATCAAAGAAATAATGTTTAGTGAGCATGAGCAAATTTTTCGTGCAATTTGGGAATCATCTACTTGAAAAATAGCAGCTCAAGGAAACAACAGAAATCATTAACAGTTTTCTTTGGTGGAAGTATTGGTATTATTGGAAATGGATATTTCAAAGTTAATAATTTATGTAACGCAAGAAAATCATTATAACGATGCGAGACCTTGTTTTTCTGACGCTGTTATATTTTAAAAAGATAGAAAAAGATAATGATAGACGTTCCGAATAAAAATAGAATATTTACCATGCTGGTAACTTCATATTCAACATGTCGTATAATAACATCTAAAAGATACAATTTTCAATTGAAAATAGTTTATTGTAAGAGATTACCTTTTTTCTCTGGTACTAAATCTACTTGAATAGTATTAAGTACACAGAGATCATTATAATGAAAACAGAGAGTATTCTTTTGTTGATCATTTCGAAGTAGACGAATTAAGCGATCTTCTAAATCAGTTATTTTCTCAACTGTTGGAGTGAGTAGTTCTAAAATAAGAAGTAAAATTCGTTATATTTTTCTATACATTACACACTAAATATGGTACCTCGATTTACATAATTATTCAATAATTTCTCATCAATAGCTTTTCCTTGTTGAGCTAGTGTCATCAATGTCAAACATTTATAAAAATGATTACGTGAACTTATTGAACTTGTCTTAATAACTGCACACCAAAACTTAAAGAAATGAAAAATAAATTGTTCTATTTCTCCTTCGAACATTTCACAATCTTCTCAATAAATTTCCTTGATTTAAAATAGCTTTTGTCAACGTATTTGATTCAAACAATGGTATAAATATAGTAAACGTTATTTTATCTAATCCATGTAAATTAATCATTTCAAATAGATCACGATAGATTGATGGTATAGAATCTGAATTGAACGAAAGAAAGATTTATCAGTTTCTTACTTTCTTTAAAAAAGTATCTCCACTTAAATCCAACGGCATTTTTTTGTAAAAAATATCTTCCGTTGACTTGTTCTTGAAACGAAAGAACAACAGAATTATGTAGAAAAGATCTCGAAATAAATATTTCGATAGATGGCGCCCATGTACAACTATAGAAACAAGAAATTATTCATAATAGATTTCAAATAATCTTTTCGAATATTTTTATATTTTAAATAATTAATTAAACTCAAAAAAATGTTATTAATGAATATGTGTTATTATAAAAATAAAGTCCATGTAGCTACAGAAATGAATTACATCGAGCAATGGCTAAAATCTTTAAACCTCATTTGTTTATCTTTTATTTTATTTTGTGCTTTTTTATGTTAATTCAATTACGAATCGATTTTGTAGTATATAATGCCATCTGATGGTGAACTTGATCGAAATACTATCTTTGAAAAGTAATACTATTCAATATTTTTTTTTTTAAAAATTTATTTATTTTGTTCTGTTTTATTCAATTAGATTTGCTTCAATCAAACGAATGCATGATGAAGTAGGTAGAAAACAAACAGAAGACTATCAAAAACGTCTACAAAAATTGAAAGAAGAAGAAGAAGAAGTAAGTTTATAAAACAAGTATTTTAAATACAATTATTTAAATACATTAAACTATTTTCTCTTATGAATTGATATAGATTAATTAAAAATCTGTCTTCTTTTTCGTCTAATTATATGGCTAAATTACTTTCTCAACAAATTCCAAATCGACCACAACAAGATGTTTCTTCTCGTGTACAAAATTCAGCACGATAATTATTCAATTTAATTCTAATTTTCATCTTTCGATAAGATATAAAGTCAAAACTTGAAGCTGTATGAGATTTTGTTCTATAATTAATTTGATAGATGTCAATATTCAATAGATTGAAGTTTGCTATTAAATGATTTGTTGTCTTTACACAGACTTCAGATTGTCAAAAAAAAAATCAATTTTTATTCTTAGTCGTGATTTATTTCTAACATCGAAAAATGACATAAATCAATCCTACATATTACTTTCACAGCAGCAACAACAACGACATCATTCTTCATCGAAGGTAAAGTACAAGTAATTTTCATATGATGGATAAAACTTCTGTGAATATTGTCCACTTGACTCTGACTAATTCTGATTCAGAACTGACTTCATCAACACTAGTCCATACAAAAGGTAGATTATAACTTGATTAGATCATTGGAAAGATTGCTGAAATCATGTTAAAGATGTGTTCTAAAGTGACTCACTGCAAATTAAAATACTTCATTGAACATAAAGAGTACAATTTAGATTTGAGTTCAAATCCAGAAAAATGTTGAACAAGTCGGTTTCGAGAATTTTGTGGACGGTAGTTCGTACTCTGGTCTTCTACAAGTGAAGTTTTGTTAGAAATTATGCTTCGATGTTGCATAGATTTACTCGTATATGTTCGTCCGTTGATTACAAATATAACGTTTGTTTTACATGATATCTAGGAACACGATTTCATTTATATGATGTTCGCTCGTTGATAAAGAAAAACTATTTGTTTTCAACCACAACATTTACATAACTTTTTTTCTATCGTATGACGAGTAGAATTATAATAAAAATGATGCAGTCAGTGAGAGTTGATGCTTGAGGGTGGGTGAAGGCGATCTGTTTTTTGAAGGTAGATGCCTTCTCAGGTAAAATACGATTGGTTAAGAATGTCACAAGCAAATACTTTTAAATCTCTATTATTGGATGCAATTATTCACGTTCTAGTGAATAAATATATTTTCAGACTTCTTATATAATAATACTAATTAGAAGTAATTGAATCTATTTTAAAAAAATCGACTATTCGTTTTCATATTTTTTTTGTGCATTCTGAAAATAATTTTAGTCATTTTTTTGAATGACTCACATTTAATTCATTATTTACATTTAGTCAACAAATCGATCTTCATCTCATTATCATCATCAAGATTCATATGATCATGAATGGAATATTGACGATGATTTTCAACCATTAAATATAACTGATAATGAAGTACTTGATGAATCAATCTCAAATCGTTTAACAAATGATGATGAACCAGATGATTCATATATAACTGCTTATCAACAATTAATTCAAACTCAACAACAACAAATGGTGGCTCAACAAGAACAAGAAAATATGTTATCCACGATATTTGAAGCATCTTGTGAAGATGCCTAACCAATGACATCACTTATTGATGTACATCAACAACGTACACAAGTATCATCACTATCTCCATCTATTCCAATTGCCGAAGATAATTATGTTAATGACAGCGAAGAAGATGAAGAACGAGAATATACCTATCGTCCAGAAGCACCATCATTTGCATCACTTGATGAAATACTTGTATCGACAATATTTCTATTTATTTAAATGATTCATTGAATTTTTATTTCCATCGTAGATTTAAAATACAGTGAATATATTCTTGAAAAACTTTAAACAGAGTTAAAAAAAAATTTGTTGTTTTTTTTGGTCGTTTTCTTAAAATTAAATTCCATACGAAAGAAAAAAAACATACGGGCTTTTTTTTTTCTTTATATTATCATTGTATAAAAAAAAGAATGAATGAGAATAATATATATTCTAAAAGTAAAAGAACGACAATAACAATTTTATTTCAGCAACAAGTAATGACGAGAACCAATCTCACTGTGTTTGCCTTGATGTGAAAAATCTATTCGAAAAAAAAAACCGTCAGCGATTTTCTAGAGAATTTCATTCTCTTTTCATTAGCATGAAAATTAAAATGTAAAATAATTGTTAAATGCTTCAAAGATAGAAAATCAAAATTGCTCACTTATTATGATGTATTGTGATTTTTCTCTCTCAGAGAAAAGTTTTACAATTTTTAATTTTCCAAAAGAATCTTTAATCAAGTTTTATAGTTGAAGAAAAATATTTCTGGAAATTTTTCGTTCTTCACCTCTGACGATACGTTTGACAATGTGTGAATACATTTCTAATGTCTTATTGACATATTGTATGTTATATTTTGAACATCATATAATGTGTTTTTTTTTTTTTTATTAAAGCTAGTGTTTATTGAAAGGCCGATTCACCTCTTAAGTGTTGAAAGCCACATATAATGTGTTTGAAAGAGCATAATACATGACAAACAGAAGAATGATCTAATGGATAATGAAAAATGTTATACACAAAGAAAAATCTAATGAACCGTTCATTATCGTCTAAGGGATCAAACAAACTAAAAAAAAGCTGAATTAAGAAATATGATTGGTGTTTCCAAGTGGCAACACCAATCATATTTCTTAATTCACCCTCAATTTTTTTCAGTCTGTTTGACCGCTTAAATATGATGACACTAATATTTATTCGTCATTGTTCTCTTAGACGGCAATGAAAAAATGCAAACATATATAAATTGATATGAATCAACAGTATAATGGTTTAAACATGAATATTCCTAATAACAATCATCTAAATATAGTCAATTTGCCCGTAGAAATCTTATTGATGATTATCAATAAACTGCATATTAGTGATGTTGTTTATTCACTTATGGACATTAATGAACGATTTGCTCAATTAGTAGTTGATCCTCTTTATATTCATAATCTTGATATGACTATTATGAACATGAAATCATTTTATGATCGTACTTTTTCAATAGATGATAAAATTCTTTCAAGAATATGTGACAATATCTTACCTCGAATTCATAATCAAGTAACTAAACTTACTGTTGAACAACATTCAATAGAACGTATTCTTACCATCAATTATCCCCAACTTTATTTTTTAACATTGGTTAATTTTAAAGAAGAAATTCTGTTTAAATATTTAACAGGTATACTACTGTTAATACATAATTTTGTTTGTTTTAATTAATAAAATAACTTTTCATCTTTAAAGATTATTCAATTCTTCATAATCTTAAAAATCAAATCACACATCTAAATATCGATATTCAGAATGAGATGGGATCAGAATTATCTGAAATTTCATCAAATATATTTTTATTGATTTTATCTTTATGTAAACGATTAACACATTTGAATTTTTGTCAATTGTTTTCTTATCGAGATTCATCGATTTATATTTCTGAATTATCGCGAACAAGTTATATATCATCAAGTTTAGTTGAATTAAAAATAAATGTCTCAATTTTTGATGATTGTCTTGATTTGCTTGATGGATATTTGGATAACTTAACGAAATTGATTATCAATGTCAAACAAATTAAATACAAGCAACGATCAAATATTAACAATTTGGTAAGTGTCATCTCAATCATTGTTTTTAGGAGGAATATTAAATTAAATAAAAAAAAACAAAACATTTTTTGTTTTTTTATAGAAACAACTTCCTAAACTGAAGTGCTTCTCACTAACTTCGATTAATTATACACATGTTTATGATGAACACATTACTCAATTACTTCATCAAATGATAAATCTGGAAGAATTGATATTATTTCTAACAGTAGTAAGAATTGATTCCAATTTTATTGATGGTCATCAATTATATGATGAAGTTGTTTTTTATATGCCGAAATTAAACAAATTTCTTTTTAGTATAAACACAAGTGTTATACTAAAAAATATTGATATTGATTTTTCATCAAATGAATACATTCAACGTAGTTTTATTGGAAAAGGATATGGACAAGTTGGTTCATATGTCTTTCCGAAATCAATAAATATCGTGCGCAGATTTCTTGCCTATCCTGAATTGAATATAAGGGGTGGCGGCAGATCCCATATCTTTTCACTTCCATATTCATTCAAATATTTTCTCGATTTGAACAATTCTTTTCAAGGTGGCATGTTTGATAATGTTCAATATTTAAAGATGAATGATATACGTCCTTTTGAATATCAATTATTCAAAAAAATCTCTGAAAATTTTCCTTGTCTTAAAGAATTGATTATATGTAACCGTGAAGCACAAACAGACAAGCAACATTTATCGACATTGATTAGATTTCCTCATCTTATTCTTCTCAATCTTGTTATGACACATGTTGATTATGCTGAACAATTTCTTTCTGATAAAAAGACTGATCTACCTTGTTTGTTGGATCTCTGCATCGAATATGAATCACTCATAATGGTAACAAACAATTTTACTAATAATGCAACACGTCTTCATTGTGCGAAATTAAAAGGACTTCATATAAATAAGCCGTTTGTTCGACCAAAACATTTTCATCAATATTTTCCTTTATTATAAATATGTTTTTTCTTATTAGAATTTTTTTTTTTTGAATAAAAGAAAATAGTTTGAAAGTTGAATGTGTTTAAACTAGCTGAAATAAAACCATTTTTTTTTAACATTGAGGGGGATTTATTGTTCGTTTAAAAGGTTAACAAGGTAATAACATAAAATAGTGTTAAATTAACAGCAATAGATAGTATAAGAAGAAAAAAACATATTTAAGAAGGAAGGAAAGTAAAAAAGAACGACTGCAATGAATTTGAATAGGAACCGTTTACATTTTTCTTGTTCTTATTCCCAAGTTTACATGACATATAAGATCGTGAGAGAAAATTTCTGGTGGATGTGAGAAGTATTTAAGAATAATCAATTCAGGGACACTAGAGGATTTTTTTAAATATTTGATATTGCTGCTTTCCAATGTAGAGAAAAGTGAGATAATCCAACTTCGTACTTACGTTCTCTCGGCTAGTCTTTTTGGGAATTTTGCGTTTTTTTTCTAAAACCGCAACTTTTGTAATACGTATTGGGAAGGGAAGTAGCAGTAAAGTAAGCATTAGTTGTTTGTTGAAAGTCTACATCTTCAGGTGATATTTCTAAATTTTTCATAAATTTTATCTAATAGTTTCGAATATAATCACCTAATGAAGTTTTCCTGATGAGACCAAGGATAGTAAGATCATCCTATTTAAGAAGATTGTAAACTAATCTTATACTAGAACAAAATAAATTCTCTATATTTGCTTCTTGTTTTTCCGAGTAAAAAAACCAAGTGGCAAATAGCCATAAGAAGTAGAGTAAAGCGTATGCGGAGAAAAGTTTTCGTCGGTTTTTTATGAAATAAAATCATTATAACATAGGAAATGAAACATTTTTTCGACTTATATGCTATACTTGAACAAAAGCAATTCTTTTATTCTTTTATTATTGTTTGTAGTTATTCATTTCATAGTTTTACGAATAATATGATTTTTACTAAGCCCCTTTTTCTCTCGGTCTTTGCAATAGAAGATCCGACTCTTCTATTGTGTTTCACCAAATGAATGGAAGTTTTTTGCTGGAAAAAGACAAAGTTTACTATGAAGCAGTCTGTCGGAAGGTTTCTATTATGGAGAGAGAGTTGATCACTTTTCATTTTTTCATTTCGAAATTAGGCACGTATATTATAAATAACGAAGTTTTTTTGAATTTGTTATTTCTATCTATTCTTCTCCTTGAGTTTGTACTCTAACTCGAACCATGATTCTACATTCTGAATCGAACACGTTGATTGAAAATACCAGTCATTTATTCTTCACTACTTGATTTTGTCAATGTTCATAAAATTATGCAAGAGTTTCAGCTATCCGTACATCGACATAACTACCGTCGAAAACATGTAACACAAGATCAAAAAGTGAATCCGATGAAAATAATGTCAAAGTTCGCACGATACTTTAGTTGAATTTTCACGAAATTAATTTGAATTTCTGGGCAACTCTTTTGTTTCCTGTTTATCAAGATAGAGGAGGTATAAGGAAGTATAGGAGGTATAGAAGATATTGGAGATATTGATTAATTGGTAGAGCTGGTCATTCAATAGTGTTTGAATTTAAGCATCTATTCATAAAATACTCTGTATATTGCTGCTACTTGCCAAATCTTGCTCGAAAAAATCAATTCCTACACATCCTATGTCTCCTATATCGCCCTACACCTCCTTTTATCTCCTATACCTATATACCTCCTCTATCTTAATAAACAGGAAAGAAAAGGGTGTCCGAAAATTCAAATAAAGCATCTAATCTCAAAGTTATGATTGTGAACAACCATTTTAGCAATAGTCATTTTTCAACTTCTCCTACTTGATCACATATACAGGTGTTTGCAAAAAAAAGTTGCTCATCTTCATCTACAAATATTATTCTCTATACAAGTCTTTTTCAAATTGTTCTATATTCTGATGAATCGCGCACGAAGAATACTATACGACAACATAAGTCAATATTTTCTTTGTTTACTTGTAGAAGAAATATAAAATAGACATCTCTTTTTCTTGGGCATAGAAAAACTTATTATAATCGAAATTTCAACATATTTCACTTGAAAAATGATGGAGTTGTTCTTTTTTTTTTGAGTTTATTTTCTCAATATCACATTGAGGTGTGTAGTAAAATCATCATTTTTATGCTTCTTAGTCTATGGTACATATCGTTTTTTTTCATTCGATGTTAATGTATGAGTAGATCGAGGTAAAACATTTTTATAGTTATGTTTATGAAGGGTAACGGCTAATCGATGAATTAGATACTGATTTGTGATAAATTTCTAATGAATTTTCTTTTACTTTGTTACGAGTTATTTCATTATTAACCTGAATGTATTGATTAATAGCCGTTTTTCTACACATGGTCGATCATTTCTTTCTCGATGTTTGAAAGGACCGGTCGGTTATTAATTACAGTGAATCTCAATAAAATTTCTTCCGTATGTATTTTGTACCTTAAACTATTATAGTTTGCTTTTTTCCAATAATAAATATATATCGAGAAAGTATTGACTTCACTGCGTCGCATGATATATTAACCACTAATAAAAAATAGAAATCAAAAAAGAAAAAATACATAAAAAAAAAAAGATGGTATTTCTTCTCATTATAATATATACTTCATCTAAAGTAAAACAAAGAACAATATTTATTTATATAAACCGTTGGTCATAATATATATTAGTTCCATATATAATAGGACATGTTCATGAAAATGAACTTCTCTATATTCCAAGAATAATTGGATGTATATGCGTTAACATGTATAAAAACAACAAAAAAATAAAAAATCAATTTACTCTTACCTAGAGACTCTAACGAGAAAAAATATCATCTTTTTTTTTTCTAATATATTTTCTTTGTTTGATTTCTAATTTTATTAATGACTAATATACCATGCAGAAATTAAATACTGAGCTTTTCAATTATTTATTATGCTAAAAATAATTTTTTATTGATCAAAAAATACTGATCGTCTGATTTAAAACATACTGATCATTTACTATAAAATACTGATCAATTAAATACATACCAAAAGCTAATAAATCTTAATTTGCAGATAATATCTGGTTTACGGATAGAAATCTGGCAAGATCCGTTGGGATTCTGCACTTTCCGACATCTCGAGAGAGATGGACTTGACTGTCGGAAACCGTCGGATCCGATATTCGATCACTTCCCGTCGGAATCCAATGCCATAGATTCCAACAATTTTCGACAGGATCTGACGGAATCCTAGTTCGAGTTTTTTTGTTCTAGGTTGAAATTGTATAAACTGAAGCTGTTTACAAATCATTAGATATTTAATCGATTAAATAACTTTTTCTCTTGTAAGCCACCGATATTAATTGATCAATTTTCTACTCTTTTCATGATCACAACTAGCAATTTTTAAAGTTTCAGTTGATTTAATTTCATGTTTTCTTCTTGGTGATATAAATAGAAATGTGAAAATAGAATATCTTTACCCTGAAATAAAAAAATTTAATTTTTGTGTTTATTCTATGTATGTATTAACAATTTATCAGGATAGAAAAAATGAGCGAGCGTATTTTTCATCAACAAATATTTTTACTTCAATTAATTCTCCATCAATAAGTTTCACAATAATAGCTGCAAATCAAATTAATTGTAACATTTAATCCAATTTGAAAACCTTCTATTTGGGAATATTTAGGTGAACATTTAGATTTTGTTAATTATGCTGTTAAAATGTAGAATATTTATACAAAGTATGATTATAGAAAAATTTTTTTTTTTTATTAATACAAAAATTTTTGATATTTGATTTTTTTCAAGAACTTTTACTCGTTTTTAAAACAAATCGTTTTATGATGGTAAATTTAGTATATGTTGAACAACATGACCTTCTTGAAAGTAAAATAAAACTTAGCAGTTTTTAATTATTTTATCAGGTTTTCATTTTGAATCATACATGGCACATTTATGTAATAGAGATTTGTCATTACTTCCAATGATTGTGAATAATATTGAATTGTCTTCTTGGTGATGTGATGCGACCCTTTCACCGTAAAAACATTCATTTTCATAATTTTATAGTCTGGTAATATTTACTCTAGATATAGTATTGATGATCTTTTCATCCCAACATCAAATAGTTCTTTAACAAATATAGTTGGGTTACCAAATGGTAATATCGTACGTTCTTTATTTGCAACTCATGATATGAATAAATCCACTTATCTACTTTCACCTTCATCAACAACGAATAATACACTGCCAACAAATGACTCTCGTAATGATCTTTTACTCGAGAATATAACATTATTTGATGTCGTAAACAGTCAACATCAGTCACAAGTATCTTCAACTGTAACGACTAGTCCCAAGTTAAATGTTAATGATAAAAATTTCATTTCTTACGTAAACAATAGATCATGTCAGAGCTCGTCGATTAATTAAAAGTATTAAGAGTGAGTACGGCTCGAATGTGTGTACAAAATTCTCGGATCTGACAGGCTGTATCATTCGAAGTCTCTGTTTAACACACGTCCATTGATGTTGTAATCCGCACGATAGCTGACCTATTCAGAGCTCCGAATCACATGAATTTTTAATTTTGGTTTATCCCAATCACTATTTGATCTTGATGATTGTTATAGTGCTATTCGCTCATATATCTTTTCTTTCATTTCTGTCGTACAAGTATGACATGCATATAGACGTTCTCTTCTTTTTTTTTGTTTCCTTCATCTTCTTGTATTCTCTAAACATTCTCCTTCTCTGATGTTGTTTGGGGATGTGCCTCTATCATTCATGATGTTTTTCTAGTTCCTTAGGTTTTTCACTGATCTGTTCATTATACACCCGTGGGCAAAAGTCTTTCCCCCCATCTCTTTTCTTGGCAAAGTTTTCTCTGCTATTATATGGACAAAACATGGTGTTGTTCGGGCCGATTAGTGGTTATTAGGGATTCTCTTTTATATGGCCCGAATAACACCATGTTTTGTCCTTATAATAGCAGAGAAAACCTTGCCAAGAAAAGAGATGGGGGAAAGACTTTTGCCCACGGATGTATATACTGCAGTCGTTTGAAAAATACACGAGATATTTGTTTTTGATTGATTCACTCATTAACAATGATAAAAAAAAAGTTGCTAAAAGTATGTCATATACAGCAAACTATCCTCTTCAATTTGAATTTTATTTTTAAAATCTAAATATTAAAATTAAATTTTTTTACGTTCCAAATGATGATCATGGTAACGTTGATACAATATCTATGCCAATTGAAACAAACGATGATGATAAATCATATGATCAAGATAGAAAAAATAATCAGTTTTCTTTGGTTTATATCAGATTCATGGAAATTAAGATTCTCTTTGGGCTAAAAGAACATTCAATGAAATAAGTATAAGGGTGTGGGTGTGGATGTGGATGTGGGTATGGGTGTGGGTGTGTGGGTGTGGGTGTGAATGTCCTCTTCCACAGCCACAGTCACACCCACACCGACACCCATATCAGCTCAAAACGCGTCGACTCAAAGATAAGTAAATAAAATTCTAATAGAATAATGACTTTTGCAGCTGCTGTTAAAACTATTATATGCTTATTCAAATTTTTGTTCATCAATTCAATCAACAAGTGGTACTAATATTGGAAATCCCATCTAAATTTTCGCTTAATATATTTCTTGATAACTTATTCTTATTACAGTGTTGCAGTTGGTAAGCATTGTCTTTGACAAAAATCATGCAATATTCTATTTCATTTCTCCCATATAGATTGGAAAACTTCATGTGATCCTCATTGCCACATGCATAAGATTTATCAAATATCAAACTGATGGTAGTCATCAGTTGATCCGACTTTTGGACAGCGTTTGAGTAGAGTATAAAATATAGATCATAAAAACTCATTAAAAAATTGCGAGACTGAATAAAACTCGAGAAGAAATCAGAGGGAACCGTCTTTTCGGACGATTTCATCGCCATGTCATCTCACAATCAATTGGACTAACAAATCACAATGAAATGGTTGAGTTTTAGGCGATCATCACCATATGGAAAAGTATACAGCTAGTAAGTTATTTTTATACTTAAATTTTTTTTGCATAAATTAATCAAACTCGTAAGTAGTTGTTGAGATCATCATTGTCTGTGCTATCTTTATATGTGACTAATAAATTGAAAAAAATTGATGTAATATAGTGTAACTCGATTATACATTCAACTTCTTATTAAACATTAAAAGTGTACCGAAAAATAATCGAAATAACTGCGTCATACGTCAGTTTTTTTAAGGCAAATTGTTTCTTAATGTTTCAAAAAACATATTTTCATCTTGAAAATAGTTCACTAAGAATTATTGTAAATTGTCATGAGCAAGCATTTTATAATAAGCTCCACGTCGTTGTGTCAACTCTATATGAGTACCACGTTCCACGATATGTCCCCTATCAAGTACACAAATCAAATCACATGAACGAATAGTTGAAAGACGATGAGCAATAATGAGTGATGTTCGACTGGGATCTTCTCTTTGAGCTTGTTCAAGAGCTTCTTGTACAATCTAAAATTGAAAAATAAAGATGAAGCTTTAATTGATGAACAGAAAAACAAATAAACTTACTTGTTCGTTGCGTGAATCCATTGCACTTGTAGCTTCATCCAAGAGCAATACTTTAGGTCGACGAATAAGAACTCGAGCAATGGCTATACGTTGCTTCTCACCACCTGACAGAAAACTACCTTTCAATCCTACTCTTGTTTCATAACCCTAAAAACCGTCATACAATAGGAATAGATAAATTATATAATTTTTTTTTTGATTTCTTAACCTGAGGTAATTGTTCAATAAATTGATGAATGTCAGCTCTACTTGTTGCATTGATAATGTCTTCCATTGAAACATTCTCTAATCCATATGCTATATTTTCAGCAATTGTTAAATCAAATAAAACTGGCTCTTGACTAACAAGACCAAAATGAGAACGAACCCATTGAAGATTTAATTTTCGAATATCAATACCATCAATAAGCTAAATTGAATGAACAAATTTTATATAACTAAATAGTTAAACTATAGATTGAAGAAATACTAACTATTTTACCACTTGTAACATCATAGAATCGTTCCAACAGTTGAATAATTGTTGATTTTCCACATCCAGATCCACCTATACTGATCATATTACATTATTAACATTCTAAAGAAAAACGTCCAATTCAAACATACCAACAAGAGCCACATGTTGACCTTATCAGTGAATAAACATTTAAAATAAATGATTGAATCAAAACTTATCACACTTACTTGGCTTGATATTCAATTGAAGTTTGTTAAGAATAATTGATGTTGGGCGAGTTGGATAGATAAATTTGACTTGATCAAATTTTATCTCTCCACGAAAATCAACCTATGAGAATGATAGTATATCAATGGCATGTGCATGATTGAAAAAAAATAGTTATTTTCTGTGTTCTCCTACCAGTTCTTGTCCTTCAGTAGATGCATTGTCGATAGTTGGTTTTCGATCAAATAAATCAAAAAATGCTTCAGCAGCTGAGATTGATGCAGCAATATGCCTAGATCTAGAATGAAGACCGTAGAGGAAAAAAACCAATCGAATAGAAATAGAGAGTATTACGTCATCGCGAGGACTTTTAGTGCTTGTGTCAAAAAAACAGTAAAAGCAAAGACCCTAATAAATCGAAAAAGTAACGAAACATCGTCTCGAAATGATCAACTGTGATGTGAATTACACTAGAATATGGCTCGACGTGAGTTCATTCTTTTCAATAAGGATGAGAGCACGCCAATACAGAAATGCCATAGTGAATGCATCTAGTGTCCAAAATATACCAAACGCCATTGAAGATAGTAATAAAGGTTTCCAAGACGATCTATGACAAAACGAGAGTGATTAAAAACTTATACATGTATAAGATTCAGTTGACTAACATAAATAGTTTATGAATAAGTTCAGAATATTGTCGTAACACTTCCTTTTCTATTGATAACTGTTTTATTGTACGCATATTGTGAATAACTTCAGCAGCAAGCTGAAGAAGTAAAAGATGAAATAAATATAGTATATTTGATTTATCGAACAATTCATAATAAAATAATTTTCTCTACAAATAAAAGGTTATAAGCTAAAATGTAATCTTACTGTGCTTGCTCGTCTGATCATGTGATTAGATTCTTGATTCCACCTTAGACGTAAACATACTTCGCCATAGGCGACTAAGCATAGGATAAACAAAGAACCAAAAATGATCAATGTCAGTTGCCCACTTATGAAACATCCAAAGAGAATTCCAAAAAACGACAGGGCGAGAGCTTCACAGACAACTCCTAATCGTGTACCAGTCATCTCTTGAATAGCTGATGCATCAGTTGAAAGACGCGTACAAATCGCACCAGAACTATTTTCAGGTCGATCGAAATAAGCAACTTCTTGACGAAGAAGACATGCAAAAGCTTTCGAACGAATACGTTGTGTCAATTTTGATCCAGATATGGCAAAAGCTGTATACTATAGCAAAGAGTAAATAAACCATTGATCGAATTCACAAACAGACTATTTACCTGAATGAGACGAAGAATAAATAAAACAACACCCAAGAGTAAACATAGAAAACTAGTAAGCAACACGTGATGATGTCGTTCAGAGGTTGAACAATATTTGAAAGCCTATATAATGAACAAATTAACAAAAACCAATACAAATGATCAACCCTATTCTACAATGTTTGTATGGATGCATCACTCACCTCAACTATTTTGACAAGTAAAAATGCGAACAATGATTGAGCTGCTCCGTTAAGTACACACATTATATAACCAATTAAGATTATGATCCATTCAGGACTATTCATTGACAAAAGTCTTAAGAAGACAAATCTTTGTCTAAATGATTTTGTAATTTTCTAAACGAGAGGTTATCAAGAATAGTTTTTATAAATAACTTGTAGTCATATCTATACTTTGTTCACATCAACAATTTGGCTGTCTCTAATCAAGCGAGAGCGATCAACTATTCAAGAAAAAAAAACAAAGAAATGTGAAGACTATTACTATAAGAATATTAATATACGTATCGACTGTTCATCTTCTTCTGTTGCTTTTTGCATGCTCATTATATCATCTTCATTATCATAGATTCCTTCCATTTGTTGACGTTTGACTATTGCTTGATATTTTCCTCCTTCTTTTGCCATCAATGTTTCATGTGTACCTTGTTCAATTACACTTCCTTTATCTAATACATATATTTGATGAGCATTTTGAATTGTAGTCAAACGATGAGCAATTACAATAGTTGTACGACCTATAAAAAATGCTATATCAATATGATAAGCAGAAAAGAACAATTGTTACCATTGCATGCTCGATCAAGTGCTTCTTGAACAATTTTTTCGCTAACATTATCAAGTGCACTTGTTGCTTCATCCAGTAAAAGAAATGTAGGCTGTTTAACAAGAGCACGAGCTAATGCAATACGTTGTTTTTCACCACCACTCAACTGTATACCACGTTCACCAACAAGTGTTTCATATTTCTAAACAAGAAATAATTATACATATATATATATGTTGTATCGAAGTTATATCAATCGACGAAGTTATAATTCCGTCATATAATTATGTCGAAGGTAATTCAGATCAACTAAATATCAAATAATTATCAATTAATTGATGATATTAAAATCAAAATATATACTTATAGTTAATTTTTCATCTTAAAAATACGCATATCATTTTTATGAATAAACATAAGAGAAATTATTGAGAAAAATGAAACATTTTCTTTTTGTTCATGCTAAACATGATTGTAGATCTATTTAGACAATACTAAGTTTTATGATCAATGAAATAGATCTCTTTCTGTGAATCATGGCGTTAATTTTGACATAAAATGTTAAGACTAATAATGTAGATGAGGTGAGCACCTAGCTGAGGGGAGAAAGCCAAGACAAAATCAATGTGACAAAAAATAGTTCAGAATACAAAATAGTACTTCCAGACTATTGTTTTCTTCTAGTGCAGTCAAAATATATTATATACTATAAAAGATAGATCCGAGTGTTTGAATACGTCCAATAAATCTCATTGATATTGGACTGATATTTCAGTAACACTAAAACGTGGTAAATATGAAAAAAATCCAGTCAGATGAACTCTTTGTTTGACTTAGTGTGAAGTTGAGTCTGGTAAGCATTTCACTTGTTCTTGTATGAATAATTTTTTTTTATTCATATAAAGTTAAAGTGTTGTATAAATTAGGGCGTAGTATTTTAGAGATCTATTTCATTGATCACAAAACGTAGTATTATCTAAATAGATCTACAATCATGTTTAGCATGAACAAAAAGCTAATGTTTCATTTTTCTCAATCGTTTCTCTTATGTTTATTCGTAAAAATGATATGTGTTTTTAAGATGAAAAATTAACTACAACTATATATTCTGCTATTAATATCATTAATTAATTGATAATTATTTGATATTTAGTTGATTTGAACTAACTTTGATACAATATATATATAAATAAAGATAAAGATGAATATTTGGCACAAACATTTGGTAATTGCATGATGAAATGATGTGCATTAGCTTCTCGTGCTGCTTGCTCGATTTCTTCTCGTGTTGCATTTACTTTACCAAAACGAATATTCTCATAAATACTCATATCAAACAATATCTATTACAATAGTAAATTAAATAGCAAGGAATAAAACAAAAACCAAAAATAAAGCCTACGGGTTCTTGACTAACAACTCCAATGTTTTCTCGAAGTTGTTTGACATTGTAGTCTGTTATCGGTCGACCATCGATCGTTATTCGACCCGATGACGGTTCATAGTAACGAAGAAACAGTGAGATACATGTACTTTTTCCTATGAATAATTAATAAATACAAATGAGATCATTTTTACATTCTTAGTTTTTTTTTTTGGAAAAGATTTACCACAGCCACTTGAACCTACAAGAGCTGTTGTTTGACCAGCACGAGCAATAAGAGAGAGATTTCGCAGAACTGGCGCTTCTTTTCGAGATGGATAAATAAAGTTGACATTATCAAATTCAATATCACCATTGATATTATGAATTGATTCTGTATCATCTTTCCGTACATCTGCTTCATTGATACTGGCGTCATTTCCCTATGTCATGCAAACAAATACAAAATATTGCCACCGATATTAAATCTCAATTTATTCGAATTTACCTCATCAATAAGTCGAAAGACCGCTGCTGCTGCACCTCGAGCTTCTGAAAACGATTGAAAAAAAGGAGCAATGCGACTGAAATAATACAAACAATCTGCAAAGAGGAAGACGACCTACATTAAAATAGTAGTCCTTTATTCATTTACATAATGATAGATTATATGAATTACTCACGATAAGAATATCACTAATATTCGAACTATGATAAGCTCTGTCTGACATGAAAAGAGATCCAAAGATAAAACCAACTGAATAAGCTAGGTAGGCTATCAAAGATAGCCATCCAGTAAAAGCTCCAAACACCGCACCTTGTCGTATACTATTCCAACGAGTAGAACGCAATTCTCTTTCATATCTAAATGCAATAAATAGAACAACATGTTTTATGATATTAAATAAGTAAACTATTTTTATATATTTGTTTACCGTTTCTGCTCAAACTTGCAAGCATTGAGCGAGAGAACAGTTCTCAGTGAACTAAACACTTCTTGAACAATTTGTCCCGCTTTCGAATATGTCATTAACTCATTCATTGTTGCATTAGCAGTAAGCTGTGAAATTTCATACAGATTTCATTGATTGAAAAATATTTTTTACCTTTGAAAACACAAAGGAACTACCAATGACTAAAGGTACCAAACATGACATGATCAAAGTCAGCTGCCAGTTGAAAACAAAAGACACTATCAAACAACCAATGAAGCTGAGTGATGTTACCATGAGTCCTAATAATTCCAAACCAATTCCTTTATCGATCTTTGCAATGTTACTGTACAAGAATTGAATGAGACGTAGTTATTTGATACACAACATTGCAATGACTTACTCAAATAGTTTAGCATGGAGTTGACTGATTAGTTTGGAATCCATATAAGAAATGCTCTAAAAACAGAGAGATGGAAACAAATAGAGATGGCCAGATTCGACATAGCCTCACTCTAACTACATTCCTATTACCAAAATTTGGCTTCATCTGCATTTTCTAAATTCAGATCCAACTCCAACTTTATGTTTTTTGAAAATTCTGCTCCAACTCTGGCTATAAATAGTCATGCTTCACACTGGAAAAAAAATACCATGTGGAAATTAAAAAGGTTCCGGGTTTTGTAGTCAAAATTTCATACGAGTTTCGATGCAATTCCACTAAGTCTATGCCAATTCATCCATCTATACCTCTACTACTATATTTGTACTATAAATTGGCACTGAATAACTGTTTCTCTGTTGTTCTATGCCCATCGGTGATCTGTGCCTATCTTAATCTGTATACACCTATTCCACTAAATCTAGTTGCCTATCTTCAACCCCTTAATATATTTTCCTAAATGTATTCCTGTAAATCTGTATCTGTCCTCTTGATCCAACCTTTTATCTATCCTCTTAATGTATATCTATCTCCTTAATCTATGGCTTTAGTCTAACTTTTCAATCTATTTCTCTAAATCTATATCGATTTGCTTAATATAATTCTTTAATGTAATTGCTCAATGTATATTCCTAATCTATCCTATCAGCCTGTCCTTCTAAATTTGTGTCTATCCACCTATATCTATACTGATATCCCTGTATCTATAACGAGTCCCATATGAAAGAGGTAGGTCATTTACAATAATTTTATATTAAACATTGACTAATTATTTTATCATTAATATTAATAAAAAAAATGGGTGAATGGCATCACATTAGTCGTTATTGTTAACGGTCAACAGGTCATCTAACCGTTAATGGTAAGTTTACATTTTTTCTGGTAGTATATAATTTATTTAAAATTCAGTGAATGAGTGGTTTACGTGAGAATTATACTATTCCAATCAATTTTTTTTAGTCAGAAAAGGTGCATTGACAAAAATAGCATTTCATTTTTTTTTATAAAATTTGACTAACCGTATAAAAACCTCTGATTATAAGGTCTGAGAAAACGTGACTCGTGAGTTTCGAAAAATCTTATAAAGATTCAGATTCCTTGATCTTGAAAACTTTTAGTCAAGTTTCATTTAAAAAAATCGTTATTTGCAAAAAAAACTTTTCTGATCCAGAAACACTGAACGGAATAGTATTTACGTTCATTCAAGCCACTTATTCTCTTAATTCTAAGTAAGTAATGTACTAAGGCTCCGTCCATCTAGAAAACTCGACTTTCTTCAAAAAAATGTTTTTCTGTGATATACACACAAACATGTTGTCAGAGTTGCCTAATGTACGAATTTATAAAAATAGTTTTGGTTTTCGAAGGTTTTGGGGTTTTATGAATAATCTTTGAAACTATCTGGACAAATAATGATGCCTAGAGCAATCAGGAAATTTTTTTTCTACAGTTAGATCTTCAAAATAAACAAATACTTTTCAGAGGTAATCGAATATTGCGCATCTTAGCTATACACTTTTGAAATCTATAATCATGGCATACATAGCTTTTTTCTAGATGCTTTAGCTGAGATGCTACAAAAAACACTGGAATTAAACTTTGAAGTCCTTTTTTGTAAATGGAAGTGTACTTGACTTACGCGTTGAACAAGTGATCGAAAGAGGGAAACATTCATACGAAATATCTGTCGTTTCACACTAATGCTCCAAATGAAATTTTTAATAATATCGGCCAGATAATCGACGGTACCGGTAACTATATCGACAAGTAAAAAAAAGAGAC